ATTGAAATTCAGGGTGATTTTTGTAATATACAGAACAAATTATTTCCACTTAATGTGAGCACTGGGTTTTGAGACTGAGCATCAAATGTAATGAAGTGGTATATTTTGGCAAAGAGGCCACACTGGCTGAGTAGAATCACAGAATGGTCTGGGTTGGAAAGGACCTTAAAACTATCTAGTTCCATGGGCATGGGACACCTCCTGCTAGACCAGGTTGCTCAAGGCACTGTCCAGCCTGGCCTTGAACAGTGCCAGGAATATGGGGCATAGTAGTTGATTAGAAAGTCACAGTGCTGACCTGCTTCTCTTTTGCAGGCAACCCAGCTATCGCAACATGTTGCTCAAGTGAGACAAACCCAGGAGGTGGAGAAGTGGCGAAGGCTGGCACAGCGGAAGAACCAGGAACTGGAGAGATTTCGAGTGGAATTGGATTCAATATTAGATGTTTTACGTGAACTGCAGAAACAAGGGGTTGTTATTCCTGCACCTAATTACAGTGGATTCAGCGTGCACGACAGCTGTTGGAAGACGTGATTAGGTAGGAGTTGATTAGAGAAGTACAATTTTAATATTCAAAGTTATGTATAGAAAATATTACTGACAGTCATTAATGCAGCACTTGTAAATTGAATTGCATTCTGACCTTATCTGGAATCTTGCTTGTCCAAAGGTAGGTTTGCCTTGAGCAGCACCCAGTTGTATTGTATGTCATATTTTGTTAGCAATAAAGTTACATGCCATTTTTAAAAAAGATTAGGAATATTGAGGTTATTCCATAAATTTGATCACTAATGAAAAATTCCAGTTGATACTTTTTCAGATACTGTAGAACATGCCTCAGTATTTTTAACTTTTGTTGAATGATTCCTTTGTGAACAATATAATATGCTGTTTAGCTTCTGGTTTTAGTGTGTAGAGTTACTATTTTTCATTCATTAAGGCATGAAACTCTCTTTTCCCAAGACTTTGCTTCTCTCCCTCCAATTCATGAAGCATTCCTTCCCTTATCTCTCTTTAATACCACTTTCAACTTTGTGAATGGTTGGTGGGTTGGAGCAGAGCAGGCACTTGCTGGTGATGCTCAGATTCAAACTATTCTTTGTCTCCTTTTCAGATATTTCCCACTGTGCTGGTAATAATGATGGCAGAGTGATCTAGCTGAGTTGTTAGGGGACAGCTATGAAAAAAAGCCTATAAAATACAGTGAGAGTAGTTATCGGTATCCCTTTTAGAAGGGAAAGCTGTATTGAGTATGATTTTTACAAGGGGCTGTTCTGGTTCTGAGATAGTAACTTTATAGATAATCTTGACAGAACAAAGAGGCCAGCCTGCTGCTAAAAAGGATAAAAGAAGGAGAAGCATTAAGTCAAGTTAAAGAAAATTCAAGCTTTTGGTGGCTTGAAAGACAGGTTTGCAAACACATCAGTAAATTACTAGTTTGAAGTCTCAGCAGTGCAAGTCCTTAAGAATTCCACAGCACATATACTGAGGTTGTAGTTCAATCAACTACCCTTATTTAGGACAATAACAAGATGAAAACTAGAATCTACTCTTCAGAATGTACTAGAATGTATTGCACCCTGTACTACTGGAAGTAGTTCAGGTCTATGACTATATGATTGTGCTTCTTTAAGGAACAGCAGTAAATAGGTTTGGTTTATACAAGCATGTGACTGAGCATGCATAAAGGACAAAATAATGTAACACATTATACTGTGGAAACACTGGCAGTAATAGTGCAAGGACTTTTCTTTCTTCTCAAGCATATACATACACAAACATAAGTGAGAGTGAATACACACAAATAAAAAAAAGATAAGTCAGTTGGCAATATCGTAATCTATCTTGGTTGTTTCATATACAGGTATTTTCAGTATTTTTAGTGAGGCTGTTTTGTCCCACAGAGATGAAGTATTAGTCTGTATTCATAAACTATGTAAATACAACGCTGCTTTGTATAGATAAGCTATGGGTAAATATGCTTTTGTGTTCTTGATTTTGGATTGTTTTGCAAATGAAAAGCATAAAGCTGAGTAATTTCAATTTAATTTTTTTTTCTTTCTGTACAATTTGCCATTGATGTAACTCTGTATTAAAGTCCGTGACCTGAAGTGTGATGTTTTTAATTACAGCTGGGGCACTGCCTGGGATGGGAAGGCCCAGGGGGAGCATTTCTGGTTGCTGGAAATTCTCTCTCCAACCATTGCCTTCAAATGTTCTCACATGAGTTACATTTCAAATTAAATTATCTCTCCTAGTTTGTTTTACTGAGCAGGGACAGTATTATTGACCATTACTGTAAGCTATACTATGGTTTATACTGTGTTCTCACATATATTTATGTAGTTACACATAGACTACATGGTCTTTATTTTTCAGGCATTTCCCATGAAGTGGGTGCTCTACACAGTAACAGACTACCTCTGGTCTTGAGCAGCTGTAGCAATGGCTTCTTTTTGAAGAACTAAGATCCAAATTTTAACTTCGCTGATAAAGTTATGAGTTTGTGACTCTCCAGCAGCCTGAAACATACCCTGAAACACAGCTGACAGAAACGGCCATTAGCTTTTACCATATTCCAGTGAGAAATTTGGTGCAATCTCTCAGAGTAATATAATTCTATACTGCTTTGTGTTTGTTTTTCCTCTTCTTCTGTTATCCTAGTTCATTTTGCATTTCCAGGGCCCATTATAATGGATAGATTAAAAGAATCTTAAAGATAATTTCTTTGAATCATTGCCTTATGTTTAGCTGGAATTCATTTGTTTATAGCAAAGCAGCTGGCATACAGTAATTTGAATTGTCATGTTTGAAGCTTTAGGAAACCAAGTGAGCAGCTGGCCGGGTGCCTCAGTGACCTACATTGCAGAAAAGACATTTGCTTTGAGAGAGAACAGGGTGTGCAGAGGAGCACAGCACTTGCAGCAGAGACATAAGCAGTTCTATTTCAATTTCTCTGAAATACATGCCAGAATTGTTCGTTTAACAAGTCAAATAGGTTATAATGGATGAAGACTGTTTCCTAGTACATAATACATTTTGAAGTCTTATCTGGTAGACCTGTTCTGGAAGAAGGGAGAACAGAATCTGTATACTAGGACAAGCTGTGCAAATCCAATTTCTGTGGGGAAGGGGACTGTGCATCAAGTGCTGCACTGACGTTTTGGAACAGAAAGTCCTCTGATAACTGTGAATTGTAACGTTTAGCCTTTCATACAGCTACCTACTCGGCTCTTGTCCAAAAATGAGAAAGCACAGCCCTCCAACTCTTGCGTGTGTTGAAGAATATGTGGTAAAAGGCTGTGTGGTGGCTCTGTACCCTCTTTGCTGCCTGACAACACCCAAAGCTGCCAAGTAAGTTCATTCCAGCTCTGCAGTATCTCCAGTTGATTTATTTTGCTTTGTCATCCTTCACTGGAGGAGAGGGCAGAGTAGGAGGGTACGCACACTTGACTTCCCCCTTTGCTAGGGGCTTGGGCAATTCTTTTAGTCACGTAGTGGCAAAAACAGTCTCAATAGGAAGGTGCATAAATACTGAATTGCATGACAAATACACACCATTTACTTCACCTTTTAGCTTTAGAGACTGTATATCATTAGATTGTAGTAGAGTACATAGTTTTACCTTTCCCTTTCTCTTCTCTATTGAGCAGGCAACTTCTGATTTTACATTGTAGGTTGAGTGGGTTGTTTGTTTTAAAGGTAGAGAACTAATACTTGTTTACACAGAAGAACATTTCACAAATACTTAACTTTGAAAACTGGAGTACATAACTTGACCTAATAGGTTCTTAGAGAACACAATACAATACATTTTTATGCAAACATATGTAATTATCTTAGGGGAACTCCCTGTGAAGTTAAATCTACCACAGGTGATGCACTTACAGCAGGTTTTCAGAAGAGGCTCTGAAATAGACAGCCCAAGCAGTAGGAAAACTTGCAATAATTCCATTTGCAAACACCATTAAATTCTTAGCACCCCTATTGAAGGATTATCCTGCTCAAAACACTTTCTATTCACTTCATGGTGAACCAACTCATGGTGATTTTCTTTGAAAAGGTAACTTTAACATGTTATACAAAGTTGGTTATTACACTCCCCTTACCCCTGAGGCAAAATGTCATGTCTATTAGTTCTAAAAGGAAAAAAAAAAACGAGCTTTAAAATAACTGCTTTTGAAAACTGCAGAAAATTTCTGAATTTGCTTTTGACTCTGCTCTAATGCACAGGCAGAGCAAAAAATGTGAATCAGACTGTGTTGCTGCCACAGTGCTTCTGCAGCCATGTGGGAGCTGTGCAGTGGGGACCACCACATTATTTTTCTGTAAAGAGCACTGTGACGGACTTACTTTAGAGACAGAAGGGAGATAGATGGAAAAAGTGCAAGAACGGAAGCAGGAACCAAACAAATACCTGTAGAGGATTAACACATGCTTTAGAAGGACAGCAATACTGAATTAAACTAATATATAGTTTACTGTATATAGAGACTTAGACATAGACAGGGCTACTCGGATTCTTAAATCAGTATTCCACTGTTTATAGAGACTTTTAGACATGAACAAGACTACAGCGATTCTCAAGATAAGGAAGGCACGCAACAAGAGGACCAGATACCTTCTCTCAAACCAATATAGGCCTCCAGCCTGCTGATAAGGCCTGAGAGATAGGTAAACAGCAGCAAAAGAAAACAATTTGAGGAGCCTCTCAGGGTTGCAGATTAGACCAAACAAGAACATGTAGTTAACTGGCAAGACTAAACATGCATTCTGATGTCCTTAACTAACAGATTTCTGTAAAAGGATAAAATGAGTAGAGATATTTCTCCCGAGGACCATCACAGCCCCCAGCGACCACTCCTTGAAGTCACAGCCCCTGTGCCGCAGCCTGATCTACCCAAACTACCATATGCCATGAGTAACAAGAATTGGGTAGTCATTTCACAGAATTATGGTGAATATGTATGTAATGAAGATATAAAAGCTATAAACTTATTGGGGTACGTAGTAGGGAGAGTGATCCCCCACATACCCAGTGTCACAACAAAGTAACGTTGGCTTTCTGACCTGTCATTCTGTTTAGAGAAGTTATTTCCTGGAATTCAGTGACAACACTAAGAACACAATTCAAATGTGGTATAAGTGAAGTTGGCCTTATCCCTTGATCATTTTTATAAGTGCCTTTCATTTGGGTGCTAACTGTCACCAGCATCCATTCACATGAATATTTCTCCTTTCTCCCAAAGTTGCAGTTATGCACCCAAACAAAAGCCACAAAGATTTAAGGTACCAGATGAAAATGTCAGGTTAACTGACTGGGAACAGCAAACAATTTCTTAATTTGGGAAGAGAAAAAGGAACTTATACAGCTACAGCCTTCATACTTGTGGTTGAGTACTTACTGTAAAGGGAGGCCTTTTTGCACCTCAAGATCTACATTGCAACCATGCAGCTATACTCATTCATAACAGGGTTCACTTCAGTCTCCTTTTAGGAACTACTTTCAACAATAGTCTGCTTGTTTTAAACAGCCTCTGCTTTGCTTTAAGTATAAACCCATTCTTTAAACACTAGGAAGTAGTGCAAGAATTATATTTGAAAGCAGGAAATTTAGGTGTAAGTGGTTTATAAGGGCACAGGAGTTAAAAAACAAAAGAAGTTTCCCCAGTCTGCATTCTTTAAATGTACAAGCCATTCATTATTTATTCTCTTTGTCAGGTGAAGGAAGAATGAAATAATTTTATGAAATGAATGCTTAAAGAATTTAAGCATTGAAGTGGCTAAAGAACATACCAGCAGGCAATTCCTACATTTTCACTCAAACATGTTCCATGCAAAGCAAGTTAGTTTCAAGAAAACCCAGTTATGCATGATATCTTGGATCCACTGGTTTCCTTTCGGTTAATAACTGCCTGCAGAGCACTCTTACTCCAAACCCAGCAAAGGATTTAAACCTGTTTCCTCAGCATCCTATGTGCTTGCTCTAAAATCATTTGACCATTAATTACAATTTTTTTTAAGAAAGCTAAATGTAATGTAAGTTCTGGCTAAGGTTCAGAACGATATTACTTCTCTAAAAGAATAAAGGTTGAAATTACACCTATTCAACAAACCTTTCCCTGGGAGAGCAGCTGTGGTTGCAACACCATCCCGAGTACAAAAAAAGGACACAGCAAGTGCAGCTCAGCCATGCTTTTGGAGGTAGTCCTCCCCACAGCTTCACACCTGCTAGCCCTTTGCTGGCCCACTGGTCAAGAAAAGGGCCATTGATGGAGCCAAAAAGCACAGGAAGGTTCAGACTATAAGCAAAGTATAACACCAACTTATCACTGACATTTATTTGCATACAGCAACTCTATGAATATGTAGGAATAGTTATCCAATTTCCTGTGATTTAGCTACTGAATCCTGCACTTACCAAACTGGAAGCTCGCATCAGCAATTTAATAAAAAAAAAAGTCAAATTACTGTTTGTAAGATACTAATTCCAGGTTATCACTGGGCAACTGTCAGAATGTCCCTCTGAAATACTATAAATGCAGTACCAATTTGCTTTTGCTCAGCAGCAGGTGGTGATAGCATTTTGTAAACACTGTGCACAATTTATTATGCCAGGTATTCTCTCTGGAAGCTTTGTTGGGTTTAACCTGCACTGAGAAGCAGTTAGGTATCAGAAATTGAAGTTAATTCCAAGCAGATACCAACTATGCTGCTCAGTTTCAGCTGGCCTTTTGGGGAGTAACAGAAGCTGCAGAACTTCTCCAGGGACCAGCTACTTATCCCTTGCTCCAGCTTTAATTTGAGGTTTAGACTTTTCTTGGATGAGCAGTTTTCATACACCTCCCAGTGCCAGGCTACAGCCTTTATGCTCTCTGCAAATCACAGTATCACAGTATGCTAGAGATTGGAAGGGACCTCAAAAGATCATCTAGTCCAATCCTCCTGCCGGAGCAGGAACACCTAGATAAGGTTACACAGGAATGCGTCCAGGCGGGTTTTGAATGTCTCCAGGGAAGGAGACTCCACAACCTCCCTGGGCAGCCTGTTCCAGTGTTCCGTCACCCTCACTGAGAAGAAGTTTCTTCTCAAGTTTAAGTGGAACCTCTTGTGTTCCAGTTTGTTCCCATTACCCCTTGTCCTATCATTGTTTGCCACTGAGTAGAGCCTGGCTCCATCCTCGTGACACTCCCCCTTTATATATTTATAGACACTGATAAGGTCACCCCTCAGTCTCCTCTTCTCCAAACTATAGAGACCCATCTCCCTCAGTCTTTCCTCATAAGGGAGATGCTCCACTCCCTTAATCATCTTCGTTGCCCTGCGCTGGACTCTCTCCAGCAGCTCCCTGTCCTTCTTGAACTGAGGGGCCCAGAACTGGACACAATATTCCAGATGGGGTCTCACCAGGGCAGAGTAGAGGGGAAGGAGGACCTCTCTCGACCTACTAACCACCCCCCTTCTAATACACCCCAGGATGCCATTGGCCTTCTTAGCCACAAGGGCACAGTGTTGGCTCATGGTCATCCTGTCGTTCACTAGGACCCCCAGGTCCCTCTCCCCTACACTGCTCTCTAACAGGTCGTTTACCAACCTATACTGGAACCTGGGGTTGTTCCTGCCCAGATGCAGGACTCTACACTTTCCCTTGTTATATTTCATCAAGTTATTCCCTGCCCAACTCTCCAGCCTGTCCAAGTCTCGCTGGATGGCAGCACAGCCTTCTGGCGTGTCAGCCACTCCTCCCAGCTTAGTGTCATCAGCAAACTTGCTGATAGTACACTCAATTCCCTCATCTAAATCATTGATGAATATATTAAATAATACAGGTCCCAGTACTGACCCTTGAGGCACTCCACTAGATACAGGCCTCCAACTAGACTCAGCCCCATAGACTACAACTCTCTGGCTTCTCCCCTTCAGCCAGTTCGCAGTCCACCTCACTACCTGATCATCCAGTCCACACTTCCTCATTTTAGCCGTGAGGATGCTGTGGGAGACTGTGTCAAATGCTTTGCTGAAGTCAAGGTAGACCACATCCACCGCTCTGCCATCATCCATCCACCGTGTTATTTCCTCATAAAAGGCTAAGAGATTGGTCAAGCATGACTTCCCCTTGGCGAAGCCATGTTGACTGCCCCTCATAACCCTCTTATCCTTGATATGCCTTAAGATGGCACCAAGGATAAGGTGTTCCATCACTTTCCCAGGGATGGAGGTGAGGCTGACCGGTCTATAGTTACCCAGGTCCTCCTTCTTGCCCTTTTTGAAGACTGGAGTGACATTTGCTTTCCTCCAGTCCTCAGGCACCTCTCCCGTTTCCCAAGACTTGGTAAAGATGATGGAAAGTGGTCTAGCAATGACTTCCGCCAGTTCCCTCAGCACCCACGGGTGCATCCCATCTGGACCCATGGATTTATGGATGTCCAGATTGCTCAACTGATCTCTAACCCATTCCTCATCGACTAAGGCAAACCGCTCCGTTGACCTGACTTCATCTGAGGTCTCAGGGGTACAGGGCTCTTCAGGACTGCCTGCAGCAGAGTAGACAGAGACAAAGAAGGCATTCAGTAACTCTGCCATCTCTGTATCTTCTGTCACCAGGGCACCCATCCCGTTCATCAGCGGGCCTACATTGCCTCTGGTGTTAGTTTGATCTGCCATGTATTTGAAAAAGCTCTTTTTGCTGTCCTTGACCCTTCTCGCCAGGTTTAATTCTAAGGAGGCCTTAGTCATCCTAGCTGCCTTCCTACATCCTCTAGCAGCAGCCTTATATTCCTCCCAAGTGGCCAGCCCCTCCTTCCACGACCTGTAAACTCTCCTCTTCCACTTGAGCATACCCAGCAATTCCCTATTTAGCCGCACAGGTCTCCTGGCCCTCTTCCTTGACTTCCTATGTGTCGGGATGCTCTGATCTTGAGTTCGGAAAAAGCAATCCTTGAATGCCAACCAACTATCTTGGGCCCCTTTACCTTCAAGCAGCCTTGCCCACGGGATTTCCCCTAGCAATTGCTTGAAAAGGCCAAAGTTTGCCCTGCTAAAGTCCAGGGTTGCAATTCTACTTGCTATTCTACTAGTCCTACCACACAAGATCCTGAATTCCACCATCTCGTGGTTGCTGCAACCAAGGCAGCCCTCAACCCTTACTGCTTCGACCAGACCCTCCTTGTTAGTGAGGATGAGATCCAGCAGCGCTCCTCTCCTGGTTGGCTCATCCACCATTTGCAGGAGGAAGTTATCATCCATACACTGGAGGAACCTCCTGGAAATCATGATGGTACCCTTCAGAAGCTGGACATAGGGGCAGGTAGTGACAGAACAAGGGGGAATGCCTTTAAACTAGAAGAAAATAGATTTAGATTAGATGTTAGGATTAGATAAATAGGATATTATTACTAGGAAGAAGTTCTCCGCTGTGAAAGTGGTGAGACACTGCCACAGGTTGCCCAGAGAAGCTGTAGGTGCCCCATCCATGGCAGTGTTCAAAGCCAGATTGGATGAGTCCCTATGCAATGTGGTCTAGTGGAAGGTATACCTGCCCATTGGAACCAGATGTTCTTGAAGGTGCCTTCCAACCCAAACTGTCCTGAGACCCTATGATTTAAAAACAAAAAACAAAACACCCCCCCCCCCCCCCCCAAAAAACAACAAACCCAAAACCCAAAAGGCATCTGAATTAAGGTTTAAGTGGTTTACTTCTTATCTAAACTGAGTTGGGTGAGCACAGACAGTCTTACATACAGTAGAAAACACAGATCTGAAATACCTTCTATCACAATACCAGAAGTCCATGAAAGGCTTCAAACTGGAGAGTAACGAGAATGTTTACCTTAAAGTAAAAGGCTTTTTAGTCAAGGATCCGATGGGATGATTGCATGACTGATCTGCTGTCTGAAATGATTGGTGCCTCTGAGATGAGGAGATCATCCTCACCTAGCGAAGAGTTCTGCTCAGCATTCACAAAGTTAGGAATGTTAAATTTTGTAAGACAGTGTAGGTCTTCCTCAAACATACCGCTGCTCTTGGGAGCTTCCTGGAAGTGGGTATTACTCTCCAGACCTGGACCTTTCTGATTTTGTTTTGCTTTGTCCAAATGTTCCACTTCATTAATACAGAAATGGAAAAGTGACTGTGATTCTTCAGCTATTTGGCGAGAAAAGACCCTCTCCGACTCCAGAGGCCTTCCAAAATCTGCCACAAAGCTATTCATGCGAAATCTCTTTCCAGAAGGTTCTGCATTGCTAGGGAGCAAAGAGAGAAATACAGTAAGCACAAAAAGTAAAAACATCAAGTTTTTAACAGCAAATTTGCTTTCAGCAACCGTTACGATTAGGAAGGAAGGAAACCCTACAGTTTGTCTACCACTGACTGTAAAAGCCAGCACTATTTATTATTTTCTGCTTAAGTTATTTTAAGTCTTGATTTGTTGTGATGATTTTCCACTTGAATAAGTTAATGTCAGCACTCTTAAATGGCACTTCTAATAATCAATATACTGTTATAATGAGCTCAATAAATGAGCTTAGAAATACTCCCCAGTACTTCCTTTTGATATCAAGTAGTAACAGGTTGTTTAGAATGGCTTATCAAACACTTGTGAGAAAAAACATCTGAGATATAGGCAGCAGTGCTGTCACTAAAGGTATAATTTGAGTGCTTGGTTGTCTGGACATCAAACTATCCCTTCCACTGACTTTAGTCAGTGTCATTCAGATTTCCAGATGAGAGCTGGAACTAAAGATTGCTCTAAAGTCTGGCAGTCTTAACAACTCAGACACATAGCCCAGGAAGGACATCTTTTATCAGCAACAGCATAGCCAGCAGGGCCAGGGCCAGGGCCAAGGCTGTCATCGTCCCCCTGTACTCAGCACTTATGAGGTTGCAGCTCAAATATCATGATCAGTTCTGCACCCCTCATTACACAAAAGACATTGAGGTGCTGGAGCAGGTCCAGAGAAGGGCAGTGAAGCTGGTGAAGGGTCTGGGGCCCAAGTCTGATGAATAACAGCTGAGGTAGCTGGGTTTAGTCTGGAGAAGAGAAATCTCAGGGAGACCTTATTGCTCTCTACAACTACCTGAAAGGAGGCTGTAGTGAGGTGGGGGTCATTCTCCCAAGTAACAAGCAATAGGACAAGATGTGACAGCCTCAAGCTGCGCCAGGGGAGATTTAGACTGAATATTAGGAACAATTTCTTCACAGGGTGGTCAGGCATTGGAACAGGCTGCCCAGGGAAGTGGTGGAATCACCATCCCTGAAATTCTTGAACCGTGTAGATGAGGCTTTCATTGGCATGGTTTAGTGGTGGTCTTGTCAGTCCTGGGGTAATGGTTGGACTTGATGATCTAAAAGATCTTTTCCAACCTAGCTGATTCTATGATCTTAACACTTCTCAGAGTTTTCTAGAAGTGCTAGCTCAAACCAGCTCCGATCTGCATGGCCCTGTGCATGAGCCATAAAGAGCTAGGGGTGGGGAAAGCTCGTGCTGGGTGTTGGTTTTACAGCTAGTAATGCATTCTTTGTCAGGCTGAATTTATATCCTGTCATGACAAAATTGCATCTGAATGGCAGTAGAGGTATTCAGAGGATGAGTAGTGAAAACTCTATAAACACATTCTCAGAATAAAAGCTAAGTAAGAATTGTTACATAAGAATTAATAAAGCATACTCTTTACATGTGAACTCCTTGCAAATGACACTGGAGCCAGACAGTTGGACACCTAAGTGCACACGGCAGTTACATAGATTTTCAGAGGAACACTGTCATTTAATTCCCTCGGGCCTGCAGTAAGAGGTAAGTGCCTACATGCTTTTAAAAGCCTTATGGCACCTTCAGAAATCTACTCTGAAAACCTTTCGGTCTTTCAGTCATAGTTAAACGTGCTAATTTGCTTCCATCACGTAAAACAAGAATTCTGTCCCAACAAAATCAGTTACAGTAGCCTTCCAGTCAAAGCAGGCTCTAAGTTTGTCAAAACTATAATGGCTCATTCTGCATTTCAAAGGGAAGCATGTAGAAGCATAGTATTTAAATTGATGCAAAACAGTCCAGTAACTAAGTACTAGTCTGCTGTATGCACACCAGGAGGCAAACAGACTGGAATAATACTGTGGTAGCTTTCAGAACTGATGACTATCATTTATGTACTTACAATGCAACAGAAAGAGCCATTCCAAATTTAATTGACATATACGGTTTTGCAAATCTGTCACTAAGAGTTTCTCTGAAGTGTTATGGCATGGACAGCAGAGGTGGCAAATAAGCACTGAAAGAGGATAACAGCCTAGGAAGAAGTGAGTTTGGAAGAAAGCTTAAAATGCATCCATTAGAGAAGTAAAACCCGTTCGTAAGTGTGGAAAGTACTTTAGAAACCATGAGCTGTGAAGGAGCAAAGGCTGACTGTATGAGGGGCACACAGGACTGGCAGTGGCAACCTAATCTTAACAGAAGAATGGAAGATGCAAAATTTTATAATGACCATACTGTTAAGGACATACAATAAAATGGAGAATAATCCTATGCTCACGAGTGGAAAACACATGACGTAATACACAGTGGTATTTTTGGATTCTGAAATCCACAAACACTATCTTTCTGTGTTTTGGGGAGGAATCGTAGTCTTGCTCATTACAGCATGCAAGTATACCTCAGCGTTTGTCAGGGTTTGTCAGGGTTCTGGTCTGCTGGATTCGGTACTAGGCTCCGGATTCTGCCCACTGGACTTGAGTGCACTGTCAGGGTACGGACCATTTTGCCCAGGATACCCATCTAACAGGTGCATACTGGTTTGGGACTAACACTTGAGCTCTATAGCCAAAACAGCCCTTCCCTGAACCCTCCCTAAAGTGACCTGAAGTACTTGGCAAACCATGGAGAGGAGTAAGTAGCGAGTTCCCCAGAATAGCGCTGTTTGGCATCTCAAAGGGAGCTAACCGATCCTTAACCAAAATCAACTGATTTCTTAAGAAAATATTACCAGTCGTTTCACCTTTACTGCAACTGGTTGTAAAACCTGCCTCAACAGCTGCATGAAGCTTTGAGGTGACATTAGCCAATATTTGTATTTTGTACAGAGAGAGTACACGAACGCATGCGTTCGTTGCGCAGTGTGTTTGTAAGGATGTTTTTAAAGGCAGAAACAGAGTCCTGTCTTCTTCTGAGTGATGAATGACAGTACTTTTCAGGCAGAAATTCAGACAGCTTGTCAACAATTTTTTTGTTGCACAAGCGAATGTTCTACACATACTAATGTCCAGGCAAACAAAACAGAAGTGCAACAGACATCATTTCCACAGCTAATTAAATTTATATCTCTCCCCATCCATATCCTGACCCTTTTCCTCTGGTATAAGGCTGTACCCGATGCTGAACATCTTGTACAATTTTGGTAAGTACATGCTATTGTACCCCTTTATACTGAGCCAAGAAAAGCATACTATTAGAGAAATCAGAGTATTCTACTTTGGATCCAGCCATGTGAACCCAGTTACGCTTATGTCTCACGTTAATGGTACTTTAAAAGAGCAGCCAAATTGACTTAACTGAAGTCAGAGACACATGCATCAATCAGGCTGGCGTAGGAATCCCATTAACATCTATTTCTAAAGGAGGGCTGCAAGACAGCCCACTAGTGGAACGATGAGTCATGAAGAATCCAGTCAGGCATAAAGAGAGAAGGTAAAAGCAAACTAAAAACCACAGTCTGCACTGGTTCTACAGGTAGGTATTTATGTTGCAGTTTTTATATACATGTATCAAAAATAAGAGGAAACAACAGTATTCACTGCCCTTACCATTTTCCTGGATGATCTATTTCCAGTACCATACATATTTGGTTATCAAATCTCAAAAAAATAGCGCTCAAATTTGTTCAAGGTGCCAAATCAGCACACATAGTAAGTAGGCAAACATTGAAGCACACAGCTCCCAAAGCTGCAAAGTTCAAAACAAATACAGAAAGGAATAAGTGGGCTTTCAGCAACTGAAGAAAAATTACATTAAGACTTAGATTGCAAGGCACTCGCGAGGTCTCTAGCTTAATGCCCTGATGAAGGCGAGGCCAACTCCAAATTCAGGTCAGGTTATCTGGATGTCAAAGGGGACCAAAACAAGATTTTGGCCTCCTTCTTGGCAACCTCTCTAGGCAACCGTTTCCAAGAAAATTGTTGAAGAAAGCAGAACAGTGGGAGATACCAAGCAGGCCTCTGCTACCTGAAAGTACATTTTTACAATGTACAAACTTTTGACAAATATACATGTTAAAATCTTTGCTGTATATTTGACTTCATCACTTTATTTCCCTTTCAAATTCACGTGGGATACAGACTCTCATGCTTGGCTCAGAAACAAGATCTCCAGCAAAAAGGGGCAGCATACCAACACTTAGAAGGACTTTAAATACATTTGGGACCGCAGTCTGACAACTTTATGACAGTCTGTAAGGGAGGCAAAAATACTAGAAAGTCAGTTCTGGGAAGCTCAATCCTTCTCCCTCTATTTCCTTCCCATAGAAGCAAAACCTCAGGAGCACAGAAGAGGGTCATGATATACTTACGTCCTCTCTAATATGGCCCTGTCTCCAGAGATCTGCTATTACATGAAGTTTCAGAGCCAGTCTACATATGACTAAATAGCAGAGGGCCTTCAATAGGCAGAGATAGGCTGCTTTAGAAAGTGATAAGCACTAACAATTGCCTTTCACAATCAGCTTCTCATCACTGCTACCTGCCTGCAAGCAATCTCACTCTCCAGAGGGGCTTTTTACTTCTACTTTATGGTACGCTAGTCTGAGAGGAGATGCGGGTTTAAACTTACTTAGAGGAAGGGATGCTGACAGTCTGCACACTGTGCAAATGCAGATAAATGGTCACGGCAAGGCAGTCTGCACATACTTATCAGCCAGAAAGAACAAAAAGGGGAAAAAATGAAGATTAGTTTGTGACTTTCAGGGGACCCTGGTGTTAATCACACGTGGAGCTGATCTGTCCTTCAGGACCTACTGGACTTTCTCAGCAGAAACTGAGACACACTGAGACTAGGGGAGCCACAGGGTTAAGGGGAGATTTTGTAAACAGTACCAATACCTACCTTTTGGACTTGAACACACAAGCACGTGTAAACCTGCCAGTCTTCACCTTCCTTGATTTAACATCTGCCTTGTATTTTACTTGTATATACTCTGTCAATATTCACATTTCTGTTTCACTCCATCGTAACATAAGCCTACCTAAAATGACCCCACTTATCTGCAGAACAGTAATTTAAAACCATCTGTTTGGCAGCCTACCCACCAACTTCCTTTTAGCATGAAAATGCAGACATGCAGCTATTCCCTTCTCTCGCTGTATTCCTACTGACTAGCTGCTAAATAGAGAACGCATTAATAACAGTTCTACAGAATTGGTCTCCAAGAAGGGCTAGGAACAAAGACAGACTGCACCCTTCCATAAGGACAGACTAGAACATGATGGTGCTGAGCCAGTACAATATCAGCACTGTCACTGCTTTTGGGGTCTGCAAAAGAATAGACACACTAGTTAGCAGGCTGGATTTGTTCCAGTTTTCAGACTCACTCTTGATGTGGTGCTCCTGTCTTTGTCAGCAGGGTCAGGACAAAAAACATGAAGATAACAAAAACTGCAAGACCAACCCAAAATCCAATCACAATGGAATCTGGTGAAAAAGAGAAAACAAGATGATCAGTATTTCACCTCCACTTGTAGGAAGCTTCCTCACATGCAGCATGACTGCAAGTCCAGAAGACTGTCTGAAATAAACAGAGCCACAGATAAAAAACTATTTGCTACCTCAACAAATACCAATAACCAACATATACAAGACATTTTTGAATAATTTTTAATTTGGGACCCAACTTGCATACAGAAAACAGCTACACAGTGTCAGGAGAGCCAAATGGATTTGGATAAAAAAGTCAAACCACCAGTTAATTAAGAGGAAGACACCAAGCAATGGAAAGAGCATGGCTTTTTGCCTGTGTGCCCAAAATGTTCCTGCTGTTCTCATCTGGAGTAAATGGACCCATAGACAAATCGCCAGTTCTACTTACAATGAATCTATGTCCACTTACGACTTCAAAGTTGCTCCTGAAGGAAGCTCAAAGCTTCCACAAACTTAACCTATAGGCACAACTGAGACAAACATATTTGTCTCAACAAATAGCAATCAGCTGACGAGCATGGCCTAAAGTTACAGAGCATTAACCCAAAATATAATCTGGTCCAGGACCCACATTATACGGGTACTTTTTCACCCTTTGTTTCAGTTATTTTTTGTTTATGCAAATATTCAAAACTTCCACTGTAGAAGTTAAAAAACCTGACACACAAACATGCAAGAGGGAAGCCTTGGTCAGGACAGGTGTCCAATCTACCCTTAAGCTCTCATTACACAGCTACTACTGAACCTCAAAGAGCCAAGCTGGCTGTAAAGCTGTGTGACCCAGTGCAGCAGGCAGAGCACAGAGCTCTAGCCAGCCTGTTGAATCTCCTACAGGACTCACTAAAGATACCAGAAAACAAGGAGTCAGCTATTCTGCCTGGTGCATGACCCCAGCAGTTAATCACTCTCCCACTGTGAAATATCTTCTGTGCTAAAAGGCAGTTCTGTAGACTGGAAATCAGTTCAAACCATTTGCTATTTTTTTTGCCAAGTCCAAGTGCCTGCTTCAACTTGAGATTTGTTCTCTGTGAAAATACTTTATCACAAATCACTCCTTAATCTCTTTATTTTACCAGAAAGAGGGATTAAGTTTCAAGCCTCCCACTGCAGCACTTATTCCATCTCTCCTCTGCCACATCTCCTCCTCTCAACACCCTTTGTAAAATAATTAGAGGACGGTTCAAGTACGGGTCTCCATGACGGGGAGGGGCAGGGAGTTTGTAACACTGCTTTCTACTTGAAGCATACTGTTACGAGTTAGTTTATGTGACTCCATGCATTATGAGCCCTACATTTTTCTCGGAATCATTCTATATGCATAGTCTGAATCCAGTAGCTCGAGATGCATCTTGTGTTTGGCGTTACTAATACACAATATCTCATGAGTATCTACCACTCTACCAAGCTTTTGTAGTACCTGAAAATTTCATCTAGAAAGAAATAGTCACATTAAAAAGAAAATTGCTACTTAGAGCTACTAGTACCTACCAATTAGTCAGACATGCTTCAATGATATGCAGCTGCATTGATAACCTGAATGTAAACTCTGATGAAAGTAAGATGTTCAAAAACCATGCAGAGATCAAGCTGCAAAAGCAAAAAACAAAATAAACCACAAAAAAAAACACAAAAAAAAAACAAAAACCCCACCAAAAAAAAACAACAAAAACACAAAAAGAAAAAAAAGAAAAAGGAAAGAAAACACAACATAAACAGGAAAAAGAGGGAAAAAAAGAAAATCCCAAAAGAAAGCAAACTTCAAGAAAAACATAAAATCAAGACTCTGATAAACTACTTCTACTCCCCACAAAACTCACACCTGCCAGCAGGTTGTGGTGAACAGCAAGAGGCTGTCTTGTGGTTTGTTTGGTGTTCCTCCCCAGCAGGATTGCTAAATTTACTGAGCCTAAAGCTACATCTTCCTTGCCCTGCTGAGGCTCCTGAGGCACTTCCAGCCCTCTGCTGTATCAGTATGTCAGTATGTCTGTATGGTTTGGATTTGTTTAAAATTAAATCAGGTGGCCCAAGTTCTCTTCCGTATTTCATTTAAGTGCAAATTATCCAAACCTACCAACTTCTAAACATTTATTCAGCATAAAACCGTACACAACATTTATATTCAAAACATATGGTACGCAGGACTACATTTATAATACTGTCTCAAGTTGTAACTAGATTGGAGAGGTATCCTATGAATTTCTCTAGCTGTATCAGCCTTCCTTTCCTTTGCAACAGACTCATAACATCCTGGCAGCAGTTCTGACTCCCCTGACCATTCCTACTTGGTTTACCTCTCTCTAATGTTACTGAGGTTTCTTCTGTTCCAAAGGCACAAAAAAGGATTTCGTTCTTATCTCTGCCAGTCACAGGTGTCTCCTGGCTATCTTTATCTATTTACTTTCTAAAGCTGTAGTTTACAAAACCTAGTTCCTGCCTTCACTTCTCTTCAGGCAAAGGGCACGTTTTTTGCTGGTAAATCAGCTTTTTTTTCTTTCTTCTTTGCAGTCATATATTTGAGGTGCCACAGGGACTTTTCATTGTCCCCCCCCTCCACTTTCTTTAATAAATGGATTTTTGTGTATTAGATTGTTTAGTCAACATCTGTCTTCACAGGTCCCTTGCTGCATAAATCTTTCTCTGCTTTCAAAAACCCAGGCCTCTGAATTCCTTTGTATGCATGTTAAATTGTTAGGGACCTGTCCTTGTCTACAATTAATTAAGTCAACATCAAGCCAAAAGTGGCCTCCAACTTTCTCTTTTGTAATTCATCTTACATTATGGTCCAAAACAGTAACCTCCCTTCTGTGTGAAACACCTTGTGTTTCATAAATAAATAGCAGTTTAAAATAAAACACACCTCTCTTTTTAAGGGGGTTGCACACCTCTAATTTTAAGAAGGAACAGTGATGAGTTACAGCTGACCAAGTGTCACAGCCAGGCAGCACCAGTTAAACGAGAGTCCACTCCCCTTTAAGCTCTCTAATGTAAGTTACAGTGCTTTACTAGATTAAACTCGGCCCTCTGAGCATGCATGAAGTAACACCAAGGTGAATAGAGCCAAATTCAACCTATCAGTTAAAAAAAAAAGTAATAAATGACTTGGAAAAGAAAAAGAAAAAAAGAAAAGGGCCTTCCCAGATCACCGATTCAATATCAACCTTTTTCATAAGTACTTCAAGCTCCACCTGAAAAGAGGTTATTTCATCTGTCCTATTCTCTAGTTACGGGCTGTCAAGAATGAGTGAAGACAGCAAAGCTGAGCTGCCACACATAATGCAGGGCAATCACTTCAATGGCAGTCCAAGACCTGCTTTGTTGCTGTACCTTCTGCAATCCAGCAGGAACTATCACTTGTATATTTTAGTCCCATCACAATTCTTGATACACATAGCTAAAAAGGAAGGAACTTACAAAGCACGGCAGCTAATCTTTGTAATCAGTAATCTTTGTAATCAGGTTTGGCGTCTGATTAAGTGGAAGGATGGAATATAAATTAGAAGCATGATAAAAGCTAACCTATATTTTTTGAGTACCTAACATTTATAAAAGCACAACTCAGGCTAAAAATTAAATTCTGCTTTAGTTTTTTTTAAGAAGTGTTAATAACTTCAACGAGTTTTTCTGCGCCTTACAAAACCTCTCCAAAACCTCCTGATTGTGCAAACCAAGGGAGATCTGCCTTTCTCGGCTGCAGTTTGCCACTGCAGGCACTTCCCTTTCCCTGTCTGAATCCTTTGCATGACAAATGAGGCAGAGTATGTATCTCACCCTGGACCAGTGCTTCTGCACTGACTCAGACAAGTTCAATAAGCCTACAGTTTTAATTACCAGTGAGTCTCCTCTCTCCTGAGGATCTATACTGCCTGCCCAGAACGCAGCCTGTGCAGTTAGACAATAATTATGATCTCCTGGCATGGTTGTTAGAAACACTTCTGGCCCCAACAGCCTTGTCCTTCCTCCTCACTGAGCAGAATGCAGTCTGCCCAACAAGGGAAACTTGCCATGCAGACTCCACTGCTGATTCCCCTGGTTGTTTTGAATGCTTTTCCTGCAGTTTCATCAAAATTCATCAGAACATGCAGACCAGGGGACTTCACGTGGGGTAGCTTGAATTTCCCCATCACTATGAAAAGCAGCCTCAGTCTTAACCAATGATTCAAGGGAACCGAACTAGAGGCAGAATGGGGGCTACCAGTGATTTCATCATCACTCACACCAAATGTCTCCTTCCCAAGTCTTGGGGTCTGAGTAATATACTGACTGGCAAATCTGCCTGACTGCAACAGAGGACTGCTTTTCCAGCAATGCCTCTCTTTGCATTCTGCTAGATCAAGCAGAGTTGTGAGACAGTCCACTTCATTTTAAGAGGGTTCAGTTTCGAGGTAGTTATTCTCTGTTTCAAGGTAATTATTTTCAGTTTTAAATTTATTACTCTCAGTCACAATTTTCTGCCTCCTTCTCAAAGGCTAATGATGACTTTAACACTGCATTTTTCTGATCTCATTTGTTTGCTTGCCGGTGTTGTTCATCCCAGTGTTGTAGGAGGCCCTTGTATCTGTTCAGGGCTATCCATAATAACACAAGTTTCCATTATTTTACCTCTATGCCTATGGAGCTTGAGTGACTCAGTCACACTCTTTGTTACTGATGGGTGTAAAATCCTCTCGCTTTGCTCTTCATAACACAAGTGTAGTTTGCTTGTTTGGCAGCTGTGTGCGGTTTATCAGTGCATGGTGCTTTCAAGTTCCTGCTCCCACAGGGAGTACAACAGAGCCTGGCTGCAGGACCTTCACTCTGCTTCACCCTCCATTCAGTTTCTCTTAGCATATGCCAAGGTTGCAGGGTTGCCTGGGGAACTATCTTAGGGGAGATTCCGTGCATGCCAAGCACATTCCATGCTGGAAGTAGCAGCCGCATTTTACCATTTTACCCTAAGATTTCCTTAGTGTTATAACTTTGGTTGACTCGGGAGAGGTGATCTCCAATTTCCCCCATTTTCCCACGCAGGTACAGTAAATCTGAATTAGTCTCTTGTTTTTTTTCTTCCCTTTCCCCCCTCCCCCAGCCATCTCCCCCTAAAAGAAAAGAATAAAAAAAAAATTCTAAAAGCCAAATGCATGGTGTGGGTTTTTGATAAATGATGGTGCAGCTGCAGTAGCTTGTCCCAGTTCGATTTCCTCTCAGTTTCTACCCAGATTTTTCCATCTCTCTGGTCCCATCCTCTACTTGTTATTCCACTTTAAAAGAGCTCCAATATTACCAGAATGCTGAATTTAGAATACTTCTCCTATGAAGAAAGTCCCAATGATAAAAGTTTCCTCAGAAGGAGAAATTTCTTCCTTTTTTTTTATTTTAAAAGCCTTAAAAAACAAAAGCAGTAAGGGTGCCCACCACTTTTTAGCACTAACAGGAATAAGAACAAAGCAACGCAGATCATACCAAGTAGTCACCAGAAGCAGCAATGGCTGCATTTGCTGTTAGAAACTCTTCTAAACAGTCTGATAATTTCAGTATTGACAAATTTCTATCACAGCAAAGAAATCCATACTTCCCTCATGCACAAGAAAAGCATCCTACAAAAAAGGCACAGAATAACAAAGACTCTAATGGAGTAATACCTCCAATGGCTGAGAATTCAAAAAAAAAATGAGATATTTTCGTAGAATCAATTACAAATTAAGAGTAGGAACATTAAAAGGGGGAAGCTCAGCTGCAGTAAGGCATGTCTCTACTGAACTTACATTTATGAGCCTTCAGGCCTTCAAACGACACTGGTCCATACTCATAGTACTCATAGTCCCAGGTATAATCAGAGTTAGACAAGGCCTGCTGGGAGGTTCTGTTAGAAATCAACCTCAGGGCAGACATCTTGCACCTCAATAAGTATATACCTGTGGGTAAAAATGCGTTAATGCAGACTACATACTTTAGCACATCTTTTGATTTTACAGAGAATCTTTCCTTATTTTGGGGATCTCTTACTCATCACTGTTAGCAAGAGCAGCCATTCATGCTTACAATGGCGCGCTCTCACCTCTAAAATCCAGTATCACTGCCTCGTCAGACAAGGCTATCACATCCCCTTCCATTACCCCCATCTCGGTTGGCCACTCAACCACCAGTCAGCACAGAGCTGCTCTTCAGTGGAAAGAGGAAAACCTATGTTCACCTCCAAAGAGATGCCCGTAAATGTACAAAGGATCAAAACCAGGCTCCTCAGATTGAATATAGCTTTTATAGCTCAAACGTAGTAAATGGCAAAGACCACCAGCCTCAGCAGCTTAGGACGAATGCTGCCATGAAAACCTGGGTGACAAACTGGCCAGACTACCAGGCTCAAAGGGTTGTATTATCCATGCGGAATCCAGCTGGCAACTGGTTATCAGTGGTACTCCTCAGAGACTGAGGGACTGATACCACGATGAAATGAAGTGCACTTGTAGCAAGCTCACAGATTATGTTCAGGCCAGTCAAGAGGCTACTCAGAGGAGCCAGAAGCTGGAGAAGGGGAATAACCCATGCTCTAGTATAGGCTAGGTGCTGACTGCTGCAGAGCAGCGCTGCATGGAAGGACTTGCAATGGACAACAAGCTGAATATGAGTCAGCAATATGCCTTGTGACAAAGCAGGCCAGCTGTGTACGAGGCTGAATTAACAAAGGCTGCAGCCAGCAGGTCAAAGTAAGTGTTTATTCTTCTCTACTCACCACTGGTAAGACTGTATCTTGGGTACTGTACCCAGTTTCAGTACTCCCAGTAGCAGAAAAGCATGGACACACTAGGGTAAATCCAGTGGAAGGCCACCAAGATGGTCAGAGAGCTGCAGCACAGGATACGCAGTAGCCTAAGGGAACTAGGTTTGTTCAGCCTGGAGAAGAGAAGGTGGCTCTGAGGAGACTTTAGTGCTGCCTACAGTTACAGTCAGAGGCTGCAGAGATGATGGAGCCAGACTCTTCTCAGAGGTGCCGAGTAAGAGGACATGAGGCAATGGATACAAATTGGGAAACGGGAAATTTAAATTAGCACAAGGAAAGATTTACCTGATCTAGTTGAGCATGCTTTGAGCAGCAGGTTGGACCAGATGACCCCCAGAGGTCCCTTCCAACCTAAATTTCTCTGTGCAAATTATCAGCTTCAATACGCCACTACCAAAGGAAAACAAAACAGCAGTGATTTTCTCCACAGATTAACAGAAACTGCAATGCAACATTGAGCATCATTAAACTGCCTTGATAGATACTTGTCATTAACACAACCCTGCACCAGGGATCTGCATTTTGCAAAGTAATTTTTTCAGAATATTAGACAGTTTTATGCACACCAAAAGAAAGCACATCTCTGCACAGAGCATCTGTGGCTGCAGCTGGAGCCAGGACATCCAACTTGAAACATATTACAAAATACTTCTTATAAAGGCAAATTGAGCTTTGGGTAATTTTGCATTTAATTAAAACCCAGCAGGGTGAAGACTTCATGCAGTTCGTAGAAATACTGCAATCAGTTGTCCTGTGAACAATGAAACTTCACAGAGCAAGTCGAACCCAGCTAAAATTTCTTTACAAGAAGGGCCCTAAATCACAGTGTCTCTGAAAATGACTGAAACGTCAGTCCTTCCTAAGGATAATTAGATTAACTAAGGCTGCGCAACTAAAGCGCTAAGAGGGACACACATAAATAACAAGAATGAGGCACAAATGAGGAACACAAATTCACCCAGGGAATACGAACAGCATTTCGGATTTGTAAAAAAGTTCTTTCTACAACTCAGAAAGCTCCCAGCAAGAATAAATAGCCTGAAGCACAGAGGAGGAATTAAAAATGTGGCTGTAATGGACAACTCAGTTCATGGCTGTTTCCCATCCTCTACTACCAACACTTAAAAACACAATAGAAGGAGGTACATCTAACTTTAAGTGCCTGTGTTAACAGTAAAGCTCTTCTTTCGCTTTCCCAGTGACTAGAAAAGTTTCTTATTTCCTCGAATCAAAGGTAGTATCTAATTAGGCTTCAGTTTTTCTTAGTTTTAATCAACGAAAGTAACGACTGCCTCCAGGAGAAGCAAATGGCACAGTTTAAAACCTAAGATTCCTGTCCCAACTCTGTCATTTCAGCTCTGTCAACTCCCATTTCAGCTCTGTCAACTGTCTCTTACAAGATTTTGTGTTTCATTTTGTGACTGGGCTCTGAGACTATGCTGCGCTGCACAGGGTTCCCACCATCTTCTTCCCCTGCTCCTCAATGTTTTGTTGATGACCTGTCTCTTGACAGACTGTCATATTCCTGTTTAAGGGCTGGTTTTCTCTTTTATAGCCTTCCAGAGGAGTCTTTCCTTCAAATATTTCTTATATGACAGAACTGAAGTTCGCTGTCACCTCCTCACTTTTATTATTATAAAAAGAGCTGAACAGGAATCTGCCGGCAGAAAACTTCAGAACAGGGTGTATAAACAGCCTGAAAAATGTTTCTTCCTCCACCTCAAGTGCAGGCAGATGGAATTAATTGGGCCATAAGAAAAGCTGTCTCCCAGTCCAGTCAGATGTGTCCGTTTATGATTTATGAGGAGAATACCCACTTCTAGGACACAAAGAATTTGTCCTCACTTCGTCTTAGGACTAGAAGTTCCAGTGTTTCACCATGGACAGTACAAGCATTTCTAGACTTTCTTTTACTGTAGACAGCCGCTTTCAGAGGGAGAGGTGCTAACTACAACCTGGGTTACCAGCTCCCAGGCTAACCTGTGCCTCCAGCTTTGTGGGACATATAAAGCCTCTAAATCATCCAGTACAGCTAAGCATAAGCATTGTCCCAAAGTAGGTTACAGCTGACTTGTAAGCTCTGTCTGTCCAAATGCCTCCAAAACCTCAGTCTGAAATATGTTAAAACAAACTTTTTATTCTACTTTATAAGCTTAGCATGGTGGAACAAGGACCAGCACAGCAAAAGCAGTGAACATTAAGACCTTGCACCCCCTGAGGAAGTGCAAAGCAGGGTGAGCTGACACGATAGCAGCCCATCTGGTGCATTTGCCAGACTACATCAGGTTATGGAAGGACTGCAGGTGCCAGATAAGCGCTTCAGGGAAGCAAGTCCCCCACAAGATGCACTCAAGCACTTTCTGCCAGGAATGGACAGCAGTGATTCATCCCACAGCTCTGAGGCATAACTGGGAGCTCCTGCAATTGACCTTGCTGAGGGCTTTTGTGAGGGGGCATGGGAGGTAAGGCAAACATGGAAGCCCCTCTGTTGACTTGGATATATATAGATTCAGAGAGTTTCTCCTCACTGGTTCATTTATTTCAGAAGCAAGTAAGTCAGCAACAAAAAGCTTTACTTTGATCACTCAAGAAATGCCAAAGCAGGGTTGTATTCAGTACTGTCAACCAAGAGATTCAGGCAGACCAGTCCCCTGGAAAGAAGGGCAAGTGCTCATGGCTGCCTCCTGGAACATCGGGCAGCTCTCTGCAGATAAAGGATGTTGATGGGTCCCCAGACACTCCACATGGAGACCCAACTACAACTCCTGGAGTTGAATTACACCTTCATGAGAACTCATTTGTAACCTTTGTGGAAGTTTGCAAGACCACAGCTTGCCAGCCAGTTGTACTTGAGCAAACTAGTTTGACAGTTGGGCTATATCTACACAAAATCCACATCTTTGAACTGCAGCAGTCAAATGCTGCTGCAGTCAGATTTTTTGCTTCAATCTGGACATCACTGACACACTGCACAGAGCTCACAGCCACTTACCTTTCAAAATAAATCAGCATAAAGGCATAACTGAACCCACACCATATCCAGAGCACAACTTCATGGTTTACCACACCACTGGGGTCACAAAGGTAAATGTGGCTTTGTGTACATCTGAAACTGGTGTTGTATGTAACAGGAACAGCTACCTCCAAACTAGACCTGCACACACAAGAATACATCCAAGCAGACTGGTCAATGTACTGTTCATTTCTGAAGATTGGTAAATTTTCATTCAAAACTACACTTATTCTCTGCGTATTCCCATTCTGCTTACTGACAGAGGGTCTAAGCACTCTTCACTGAATAAATAAGCCAACTGTTGGCCACTTGCAAACTGTGAAGATCCCAAAAGGCAGGAAAAAAGGAGTAGCATTCTAAACTGTGAGAAGTTCTAGCCTGATAAGCCTTAGCACTACACCTTGATGCATAAGCTCCATCAGCCAGGCCATACAATTAACTCAGAAGTTATTAGCTATGAGAAGTTAAAAACTCAGCTATTCCCACATACTCTATGTCCCCATAAAACCAACATTCTTCATAGAGGGGAAGGGAAGCAGCCACCACCACGTTCCGTTTTCCTCCACCCCAGGAACTAAGAGTTGAAGCCAGAGGAAAAGAAGTTAATGAAAAAAGCAAGCACAAACTTATTTACTCTGCACTGCATCAGCTGAAAGGTAATACAGAAGCCATCTTTCTACAACCCTACCACATGGCTATTGCTTTGCACAATCTATGCTGCTCCCAAGCACCGGTGAGAGAAGTCTGCAGGAAATACTTAACCAAATGATCCTTGCTGCTTGCTAATTCTCAAGATCTTAGATGCGCAGGATTTGAGATCAAACTTGTAGCCTTTTCAGGGGAATATCCAATCTTCCCACCTGCAACAAAAGCAAGGAAAGCAAGTTATATAAAAGAAGTGAAATTTAGCAAGAAAAATAGAAATGTACCTGAAAATTGATTGTACAACTAAAAAAAAAAAAAAAAACTCAATCACACATAGCAACTGTGAGTACATGACACTTGGGGCTTTTCTAGGAGAGAAAAGAAAGTACCACTGTTAACAGTGGTTATGATTGTGATTGATGCTCACATCATCTGCATGAGCTGTTGCACTTAAATAGCAAGAATGATATTCGATTCATCACAAAAGGACTTTATAACAATGGTAAGGAAAAATGCTGGTTTAGTCATCGCTTATCCTGGGAACTAAGGATGAGAAAGGGCAAAATTACAGACATCCATGCCTCATACTACTGTATTACACATTCATTATTACAAAAATGTCTTCTTTTCCGTATACTAACACTTAGTATCTTGCACTGTGCATGCTGCAGTGTAAAAGGAGGTTCCACACTATTCTACGTAATTTGCATGCTAATAGCACAGCTACTGTTTGTAGTTGAAAGTGATGACATTATGACTTTAAAGCAAAATTTAACAAATAAAAAACCAAAACAGTTTGCCAAGTATTTCCCTAAAGATGATGATGATATATGCAAACACTAATGCCCACTTTGCAGTTCAACTCTGTATGGGCCACCTGGAAGTTAGGGAGAAACTGCTATGAAATCATGCCATACTGTGAGTTCACAGACAACTACCTGGATCTGAAAACACATAGAGCAAATACTGCATTAGCTCACTTGTAAACCATGCCTGAGAAGACAGCTGAATTATACCTAATGTAGCATCGCAGAAGCTATGTATCCTTTTGCTCTTAAGAGGTTTCAGTCCTGCAGTGACAGTGAATGGACATGGAACAGTTAGTATAGATCTACTGGGACTTGGTCCCAAAGCACACTGAAGCAGTTTAGCTTAACTCCAATACCAGAATCCTTATGAATTACAGCCAGAATATATAGTCTTAAGAGACAGTATTATCTACAAATAATAAATGGAATTACAGCTGACATATCTTTATTTCCTGAAGCTAGGATAGAATTACACGATCCATCATCCAGCTTTAGTGTATGAAGTTAAGCTCGGAAAACATTTCATTTTGACATTCAGGATGGCAAAAATTTATCTATTACAAGAATTCACTTTTCCATCCAAATAATACATCTCTGCACAAAGAAAAAAAAACCAAACAAACAAAATAAAAACCCCCACAACTTGATAGTTGTTATAGGCACAGTAGAAAACAAGACTAAACCTTTCTTTTAAACAGAGAAAAATCTGTTCTTCTACAGAGAAAATAACATGGTTAAGTTTCTGAGCATTTTTTAAACAGGGAAGATCATCCTTGCAACATCTTGTCCTGGACATGTCCCAGCTGAACCTCCAGTGAGCCTAGTTCCAGACACAGCTCATGGACACGGCTGCTGCTGCAGCAAGGCTCTGGTCAGAAGGGAGCTCTGGGTATTGTGGAGCCCATTTTCTTCTCCCCACTAAAAGTCAACCTCCTTTAGATGTGCACATGCCCCATCTTCAAGACACAAGTTCCCTCAAGACCAACCAGACTAGAAGTCCTATCAGTAAGCACTGAAGTTCTGAGACCTCTTCCGTCCTATAATGCTTACATCAGTGGTATACATAACTGTAGTCAACACTTTCCAAAGAAAAGCTTGCCTTTCCCTCAGCTGTTTACAATGCTGACAATTCTAACCTTTCACACTACAACTTTTTAACCTTGCAATAAAATCACAGATAGAGATCCCAGGCTGTTTTGTTATAGAAAACCCTGAAATGATAAACCTATGGTATATGCACTACTGAGGAAAGAGCAAACCATAAAGCAAGTCTGGAAGTTGCCTGCCCTGTGGCACATTTTTCCTGAATTTTCATGGCTTGACAAAGTAGGTGCTAGGGTTTCTGTTTGGTTGGTTGGTCTGGGGAGTTTTTTGGCTTTGTTGGGTTTTTTTTTTACTAATTGTCTCTTGTCTTTTGGATTCCTTGCTAACTCTGAAGTCTGTCAACCTGATGCCTTATTCTGAGTAGAGAGAAAGGGAGAAAGGAAAGCCCCTGATCTTAAACACAGGGTTAGCACAGCCCAGAAAACAGACAATTGCATTCAGGCCTTCTTCAATAGCTCTGTTTTGGTTTTGACTCCGTGAAAAAAACACCAAAGCGCTGAGGCAGCCAAGCAGAGTACATTTCCCCTCTCCCATTACAAAATAAGACTGTAATCTTCACATAACATCAGTCTTGTCTGAAGTACAAGCTGCAGCACACCTCTCACAGCACCTCTTCACTTCTCAGTGGTTCTTCCCACAGAAACAGCTTTGTTCCTAATCTGCACTAAAGCCAGTGGAAGATAGGCTGGCGGAGTTGAAGTTTAAAGCAAAGATATGACAGACCATTTGTTCAGAGCTGCTCCCATACTTGGGTATCTCACAGCCATGGCTTCACCCTGCTATAATCTCTCAGACACAAAGTAATGCTCAAGCATTCCAATTTGAAAATTCAGTTATGGATTACATTTCCTCAAGAACTAACAAAATAAGGTACAAAAAGATACCGTTTTTCTTGAAAATTTCCACACCCAAATGACAAATGTTTGCTGAACATCTGTAGTCAGCCTACAATGCCATGCAGAAATTTTGCCTTAATCAGTTCAATGGGAATTTCAAACAGTCACTGAAATGGAGCTGTTTATTATAAATCAAAATGGTTTGGGATTTTTCCAAACCACAACTGTTTTCTTCCTGTCTTTGTGTCTAATTCTTCCCTTCAGTGCTGCTGAAGAAGTACACAATTTCTTGTAGTGTCTCAAATACATATTTCTTGTCAGGTAAATCAGACAGCAGTACACGACTCACAAGCACACATCTGAATTCCCCAATTCTTAATCCCTGACACGTCTCTGCCCTACACAAGGCTATAAACCAGTAACCAGAGACCAAGGAAACATCATTAGAACAGTACAGCCAAGGTCTTGCAGTAATAGGCCTTATGTATACAGAATAAAGCCTTCATTTATTTGTCCTAAAATTTGTACTACAATTGTGCCAGTAATAGCTTGTATTACTGGTTCAAAGACTGGAAATTTCATTTAATCTGTTGAACAAGCTACAAGAGAATCATCTGTGCTTCACCTTAAAACGTCTTCCACCACAAAGTCTACATGGGTGACCAGCAAAAAAATAGGCAGTAAATTATTTTGTCCAGCTCCTAATATTTTGTCTTATTTTTTTTCCTTCAACAACAACAACAAAGTATTGCAAGAGCTTGATTTGTTTTATACATTTTTCCTTGCTACTGATACACCCAGAATATCTCCTTATTTTCAGCAAGAATGGAGCCAGACTGTCCTCAGTCAATGTAGAGTTACCATTTCCCTGGCATCTTTCCAGGTATTTACTCCTGTGGTAAAAAAAACTCTCTCGACTCTGATCAGGACCCTGAATAGGAAAACACAAATAAACAAGAAAAAACAAGCAGTATTTGAAACTATTACCTGATTATCTCCATACTGAAACCAAAACATCTGCTTATTCCACAGCAGTTATGTAAACCTGCATCCCTGTATATATAGCCTCTGGGAAGCTCAAATGAGAGCAACAGGAGCAGAGGGAGCACCTCCAAAACAGAGCAGTAGGCTGGGAAACACACCTGGAAATAGAAGTGCCTCAGTGTTCATGCAAACAAACCCCAACCAGCCTTGCAAAAGCAGTTTAAGACAGCATTGCCACTGTTGTACCATCCCTCTTCCAGCTATGTCTGTTGCAGAAATGACAAACTAGTGTGCCTATGCTTCCAGTCACTGTCCAGCATCAGGTGCTAGACAGGGCTGATAACACTAGGGTGAGCAAGGCAAATGTCAGGGAACAGAGACTTTTTGGAGGGAAGTTTTGCTGGCTTGTCATCAAGGTGATCATCTCCAACAAAAATAGGGGCAGGCAGCTCAGGAGAGGGACCTGAACTGCCTTACCATACCAGTCACCATCAACAGAGCCTGCTCACCAGAGACTGCTAAGACAATGACTGTTAAGGGAGAAAGAAGGGGGCATTGGGAGAGGAAGAGTATGAAAATCAGGAAAAGTCTAGGGAAGAGCACATGGGGGAAAGGAAAGGGGGCTAAACTGAAAATAAGAGAAGTAATTTAAGACTGCAAGGAGGAGCTTTCATCCCTTCAGTTCCAAAGCACAAAGGGAAACATCATCTGGGAAACAAACAAACCTCCAACAAACCAACCAAACCCCAATAAACGAACAAAACCCATCACAACATACACACCACAAACTTATCCTGGATTTTGTTTTCAAACATTTTAGGTCACATTTATAAGCTCACTTAAACGCTCAGCAGTCAGAGCAGAACACAACACAATCTGGGAGGGACGGGGGTGGGGGGACACGGACGACAGACGACTGAACATAAGTGCCAAGCAAGCTACGTGCTTTCTATTCCTTCTGCTTTAGAATACACTTACATAGCGTGAGAAGATACCACTCCGTTACAAATTAGAAACGTGACACAAGCAGACGGCATTTTCCACATCACCCAAACGGACAGTGCCATCACAAGCTTTTTTTCTTTTTAATTATTATAAATTAAATAAAGATTAGAAGGGTACTTCAAACCTTAAGGCTTGCGAAAGTCTACAGGTGTCGGTCTCAAAACCGCCTGTTAGCCAGGCTGAACTGCAGGCACTCGGGGCAGCGGCACCCCACACCGCGCTCGGGGCTCTCCACTCCGCCCAGCTGGGACCGCACATCCACCCGCGGGCCCTACCGCGGGGCAGCGCGGAGCGGGAAAGGCAGCGCAGGGCAGCGCAGTTCCTCCCTCCTTCCCTGCCGCCCTCCCCTCCGCAGCTTACCCGCACCAGGCACGTCCAGGTGCCATCCTCCGAAGCACCGCTTCGTCCCTGGCGAAAGGCGCGGCCACCCACGACCGCTCTCGCCCGCCGGGTCGAGTCAGCGCTGAGGGGGAGCCAGGCGGACGGAGCTGGCGGCGATGACGCCCGTCCTCTACCTCCTACCTGACCGGGCGGCGGCAATGACTGAGCTGAACCGGACCCCGCCACAGTCAGTGAATCAGCAGCAGCCCCGAAGCCCCAGCCCCAGCCCCAGCCCCAGCCCCAGCCCGCCCGGGCTGGCTCGGCACGGCTCGGCTCTGTGAGGTGCGGGCAATGGGATGCTCCCGGGCCAATGGGCAGCGCGGGCGCGAGCGGCCCCGCGGGTGGCCGCAGGTGCGGGCAGGGTTCGGAGGTGTGAACCACTCCGAGGGGGTCCAGAGGAGGGGATGGAAACAGGGAAGTGCGGGGCTTCTGAAGGGCTGAGCGCCAGTTGGAGTCACCGCCGTGTGTCACTTGCCTCGACAGAGCGCACGGGTCTCGAGGGGATCACTTACTGTGGAGAGCGAGGAAAGCCGAGCAGTGAATCATGACCCCTGGAAGCGGACAGGCAAAGCCGTTGCATATAGGCAAGGTCCCCCATGGGAAGCCACCGGGAGTGGGGGGCAGTGAGGGTGGTGAGAGGTGCTGTCTCAACTGCCCGGAGGTGGAGGGCAGTGTCTTAAACCCACGGGGATTGTACGGCCTCTCGCCCCATTTCCATCCCTACGAACTGCAACTTCTTAAAGAGACCTTTACACATAGGTGAAATGCGTACCTCACTCTCCTGCTTGTGGTTATCAAAGCATGGGAAATCACAGAATTGTTGAGGGTTGGCAGGATACCTGGAGGTTATTTCAGCCAGCTGAAGCACGGTCAGCTGAGCGTGCTGCTCAGGACATGAGTTAGGCCTTCAGTTATCTCCACAACCTCTCTGGGCAGCCCACCCAGGTGTTTGATCACTATCACTGCAAAAAGCCCCCCATTTTTTCTCACAGTTACACAGAAGTTCCTGTTACTTCAGCCTATGTTCAATGCCTCTTGTCCTGTCACTGGAGGCCACATAGAAGAATCTCACTCCACTTTCTTTACTCTCAGCATCAGTTACTTACACACATTGGTAAAAGCACCCTGAGTCTTCTGTAGGCTAAACAGTCACATCTCCCTTAGTCTCTTCTCATGTATCATGAGTTCCAGTCCCTTTGCTGTCTTCTTGGCTTTCAATCATCTTCATGGCAGTTAAGTGCTGTAATGAATTATATTACTCAATTTTGCAACCCAGTATTAGGAAATGAGTCTCACACACCTATCCAGTGAAGTCATGGGCCCACTGCAATACCCACCCTCAAATGTTATAGTAGATCCCTGTTAGTGCTCTGGCACTTTACTTGTTACCATCAGCCTAGAATGGTTTGGGTTGGAAGGGACCTTAATGATCACCTAGATCCAACCTCCCTGCCATGGGCAGGGACAGCTTCCACTAGATCAGGTTGCTCCAAGACCTGTCCAACCTGGCCTTGAACACTGCCAGGGATGGGGCAGCCACAGCTTCTCTGGGTAACCTGTGTCAGTGCCCCAGCACTTCTTTCTAATATCTAGTCTAACTTCATATCCATTTGTCTTCTGCTGTCAAATGCATGTCATGCGCAAGTGAGGGCACCTCACATGTTGGTTTTATGCCTCTTTCTTTCCAGGCAGGACTGTGGTCTTGGACAGTGCTGTCTCTCTCCAGCAAGTCATAAAAGCTATCATCAGTGCTATCATGTGCCTGTCAAAAATATACAACTGATGCTTATGCATTGTCAGGATTATGAACAGAAAAATGAATAAGCACAATAGCAATTTGGGAACTTCCCATCTGCTAATTTCATTGCTGTCAAACAGGCAGAATGACTCAGGCTTTTGCTCTTTTTTCTTAAACTTAAAAAAATAATAATAAAAAATAGCTAATTCCCTCTAAAGGAAATAAGCTTCATGTAGTCCATGCCCCACCTCTACCACATCTCCCATGCTTTGTCCTGTAAGGAAAGATTTTAGAGCTTTTGTGTCAAACCACAACTAGATTAATGAAACAGCATTACAGCATCTTCTCATGATTCTTAATTTTGTTTCTAACCCTTACTGTTAGTGAAAATGCAGAATTAATGACTATTCAGTAATAGCAACCTGGCTGAGATTGCAGCAGAAGAAATGTTTTCTTTCCTGATGAGATGTGGAACTGCAGGTGTGCAAACTCCAAGTGTAGGTAAGGGTGCTGCTCAGTCTTTTATCCATTCCTCTTATTATTTCATTTTCTGTCTCTTCACGCACATCATTAGTGTCTCTTCCTCCTAATAGAGACAGCAGTGGGAATTTTTAAAAGCCTAAAGAATTCAGCTGAGGGAAGAGGAGAGGCATCATGGATATTTGCATTGTGGCTGACCAGAACGAGGATGGAGCTTCAGCAGCAGCAGCCGCCCCCTTACAGCTCAGCAGCTGCAGCAGGCATCAGCCCAGGGTTTAGTGACAAACAGCCAGAGACCATATTTACAATTAAGGCCCAAATCCTGCAGAAATTCATTCTACCAGTCCTTCTCACTTGCCAGATCTTTATATTAATATATAGTTAGTAGCTGCCTGGGGGTTAGCGTCCACCTAGAAAGCAATAGCCGAGGAAAAAACATCTTCACTGTAGCTTAGTTAGAATAAACAACAAAAAAAAACATGCTCAAAAAGGAACATCATTTGCAGTTCTTCTGTATCTGTGGTGGTTTAAATGGAAGGCAACAGAGGGACTTTTCTGCACCACTTATGAAAAGTAGGACTATGCTACAAGAGTAAAGTTGTTTGGTTGCATTTGTATGTTAATAAAAATGGTATAAAGAAACAAATTGCCACTTATTTACCATTTTTCTGTACTATGCTGTTGAAAAAACTCTCAGGGCTGCAGATCTACAAACAGGCCGCTCTATTTGGCTACCCGGTGCTGCTAATTGATAACCAAATGTACTTACAAATTCAGGGTCTAAAGTTCACAAAATATTGATTTCGATTTTTCTACAAACTCTGTCAAGTTACTCTGTTTGTCATGTTTTGAAAGAAATAGTATTATAGGAAAAGCGTATTTTATGTAACTTGCAACATGAAACTAAATTAAAACTTGAAACTAAAACATCCATGAATGAAAGTTTTAACAGAGGCCACCCATGCAGGTTAAATACAAATCTACAGATAACAGAAATAAAAAATGGGTGAGTAATGAACTGGGTTCATGTCTTGTAGCCCCATCACTTTCACAAGTGATAATTTTTAAGATGTAATTAATAGTAAGTTGAAGTTGCAGGAGAACTATGGGGAAACTCTATGTTGTGCAAGTGGAATAGCTTCTGAGATACCCTTCTTCCTCCATTGGGGCATCTTTGAGTGCTCTTAAATTCAACTACTGAAAATGCTGTTTCATTTCCAGTTGGAGTTTGAAGCTCTTAGTAGCGTTTCTGTGTTAAAAAGCACGTTGTCCCCTGGTATATTCTAATATATAATTAGCCATCTTTGAATAAGGTTCATAGTCTTGAACACTGCATCCCTTTTTTCCTTTTAGTAACCCATTTCAATTAATGAAGATAGATCAGGCATTATTCCAGCATCACCTCTCTACTGATCCTGAGTATTCCCCTTCTAAGTGAAGTGTAGAGCTGATACAACTCCTTAACAGCAGTTATATCATATACTGGCAGTTTTGACCTCAAAAACTTCATCAGAATCACAAATTTCTAGCATACGCTCCTTTTTTCTTTAAGCATGACCTTTGGTCTCTGTTCCTCTCTCTACAGAGTGAATGTTCTGAAGTAGCTTTTAATATTAAAAGACAAACAAACAAAAATATCCAAGTAAGCTTATGCCAATAGAGACTTGCTACTGATAGCTGTTTAAAATATGAACCAAGACTGATCCCATCTGATACATGCTTATTGGCATTTTAATGTGATGGATTTTCTTATCTGAACACAGTGCAGATGCTACTTGTAACTTGCATAGTTATTCTTATAAGCCGAATTTATAATCTAATTTAAAAAACAGATTTATAATTGTTAGATATGCCATAATTCCCTCAAAAACACTAAGTGATACTTAGGCTTTGAATAAACTCATGCCTCTTTCTACAGTCAGTGGATAAAACAAACAGCTCGCTCTGACAGCAAGCAGATATCAGTAGTTAGGTTTTTGGTCAGTTGTCCCATCACCCAACACTTTCAGTTACCTCAATCAATTTTAACTTCTAAAGAGAAAGAATAAATTGCTCATGATATTTTTAGACTGTGCTTTAATATATTAGATTAATTCCAGGCTTTATGCTCTTTTGCCCACCTGTGGCAAGGTATCTAGGGGCTGTGCCTATACAGATCCTCTTATCTAGTCCTCTTGTTAATGCATTAGTACAGCATCCCTTTTCCTTGGTATTTTGATCATGGAATAAAATCTTTTCAGCTATCCTGTTTCACCCTAATTTATGGAGTATCTTTTCTTGTTCCTGGAACGCCTCCTGTTTCCTGTGAGGAATAGGGGTGACAAAACCCTTGAAGGTTTCCAGTTCATTCTTACATGAAAAGCAAGGAGATGACAGGCAGACTTCATTCCAATAAATTTCAGCTATTCTTTTCTAAATATTAGGTTGAATATGAGCTTCTTTAGTCCAACAAAACTACTTATGAGTCACAGGCATCACATTCTAGTTTATTTTACAGACTACAATTCTCTCATACATTAGCAAAAATAATCTGCAGTGCCTGCCAATCCCAGCATTAATAAGTAAAACCACAGAAATGTGCTCTGTGTCACTGAAATTTGGTAAGCTACAGCACGTAGTTCAAAGCCTTATCAGAAAGCCATATTCACCTCCTATATTTGATGAGCTATGGCAACTGGTGGAAATCATGAGTATGCTTAACTGCCCTAATCAATTGCTCTTCCAGGCTATGTATACTTTATTTTACAGACTGGGAAGCAAGTAAAACCTAATTTGCTTTTACTGCACGGGTTTGGCTGTGCTGCACAGAGGAACAGTTCTGCAGTGGAAGCTGAGGCAGTTACGTGAAAGGGAAGGGGGACCCTAAGTTCAGTTCTGCCTTCAGACATGAGGCTCACAGGTGCTCATAGACCCTTG